AGAGTTGGAGAGAGAGTGGGAGAAGGAAACTTGATTGGAGAGAGACGGTGGTGGTGGTGGAGAGAGAGGGAAGAAGAAGTAGAAGAAGAAGAGGAAGTGCGCAGCACGCACGCAAGCCTTCCACATCATCGCACCGACCACGCCCAAAGGGTCCCCGTGACTGCGCCGGTGGTACCCTTCAACACACGAAATTCCAACACGTATCCTCCTGGGATCCTCACGACCAGATACTGCTGCGAGTATACCTAACACCATTTTTCTCCGTGCCATGACGAAATCGTGTGATGATTTCTAAGCACAGGCAACCATCAACGGAACCCGCCCCCGCGTGTTTCACAATCATCACATCCTAATACCCATACCACACAATTGCCCAAGAAATTAATGTATACACGAAGAGGGCAGCAAAACCACCACAAGACACAACAGCAGCTGCCTTGCTACCACACCACACACGCCGGAGGAGTCAGCGATAGAAGAGTTGTGCACCCTGCGAAATAGAATCCCCCCTAGAGCGTTCCAGTGACATCGCGTAGATTATGTAGCCAGCCGGGGGCGAACCTGCTCGAAGCACTCATCAGTATACGTGTCTCCATCTGCAGTCTACTGGATGGAGCAAACCTAGTGGTGCTACCACCTCCTGTGGCGATCAACAATGACACCCTCACCCTCTGACGGCCTACAATCTAAAAAAAACGCGTGCTCCTCAATTGCTCCCATACATTGACTGAAATAAAATATTTGCCGGAGCGAGTATCCATAGACACGCAGCTGTATTCCCGGTTTCCACGTTCGGTTCGCCACTTTCACACGAAACCCCTACCCTCCGAGTACCATATATGCCCTCGCATCAAACTCCGCCACCAAGCAAGCTCTGATCCGGGACCGCGCGCATGCAACGATAAAAACTCCAGACTCCTTCCAGCTCTCACCTCGTAATCTACACCATCAACACTATTCGGGTCTGGCGCCCTACTACACCGCTACAGCAACATGCACACTAGAGTAAACAGTGGAGAAACACCCCGAACAGCAGTCTAAACTGAGATAATCTTACTATCAGCCTCACGTAACAGCAGTAGGACTGCCGCTGGGTGTGGGAAGGCATAACCCAACGCCCCAACCGTGAAAACGTTATCTCAAAAGCGAAACAAGGTAGCGCAGTGTTCTTCAGGGCGCTGTAAAAAAGCACCATTCATCGCCAGCCGCAGAAAGTCAAACCAGGATATCACAACCCGTGTCAATGATTCAAGATACAGCCAACAGAGTCTCAACAAAGCGAGGCAACTCCTCGTAATAGTATCCTAGCCATGACACCGCCAGCAGCAGCGGCAGCATCAGCTCCGGAACCTCCGCACCCTCCTCGGTCGCAACGGCTCCTCCTCTTCCCCGCCCCCTGCCGCCGCCGCCTCCACCGCACCCAACCCCGCAGCGGCAGCCCCGACGTCATCGTCCCCGCCCCCACCGCCCGCGTTGTCGTCGCCGCCGCCGCTCGCACGGGTGGCAGGCATCTTTTCCTCGAGATCCCTCGCCCGCTGATCGGCCGACTGCTGCCCGGACACGACGTAGAGGCTGGCGAGCGCTTCGGCGAAGAAGGATCGCACCGGGAGCAGCTCCATCGCACCCAGGTCGTTAACCTGGGATAAACAGCATCAAATAGCACCCCGCCCGCATGCAGTGGTGTTTTGGGTTTGGTGGAGAGGTGAAGAAAGCGGGTTGAGCGCGAGACAGCAGCGCTTGTGGTGGTGGTGTTTTGGCGTGGTGGCCAAGTCAAGAAAGCGGCTTGAGCATGAGACAGCCGAATGCAGTGGTGTTGGCGTGGTGGAAGAGCGAAGCAAGCGGCTTGAGCACGAGGCAGGAGGGCACGAAGAGACATGCTCAACAATCTCTTCGTGCGTTCCCAAAATAAGAATCGTACATAAAATGCCCGTTCCATTTTTTAACGTGTCCGTCACCTTGACGGCTTGCTGGACTTCCTGGGCCGCGGAGCCCATACCCTCGTACATCTTCGCTCGACGAACGTTCTCCACGTCTTCCAAGAGCGTTCGCACGCGATCCGGCTCCTCTGCAAGCACGCGGGAGTGAACGGAGGTGGAGGCGGGGGGTTGTACTCATGCTTTGCATGCCTTAGCAGTTAGACCATGGAAGAGGTGGAGGGAGGGGGGCAGTGCATAGCGCGTGGTCAGGTAAGACCCTCATATCCATTACTAGGCCAGTACGGAGCACGTCCGACGTCGCGGTCTGGAATAGGCGAGGGTGCGGCGTAGCAACTTCGCCTCAAGTCATGAACGTTGGTTGCTGTGGCCCATTTCGAGACGGAGCAGCACCGGTACGGTAGATACATAACGTGGAGAAACGCCAACCAGTTGTTGACGCTGAGAAGGTCGCGCATGCACCATACTTTCTCCGTCAACAGAACCACGGACACCAGTTGACCACCGCAACAATATTTATACATCCCCATAACCTTTGTACATGTACCCGCGTGCCCTCCGTAGGAAAAAGGGACGGCAGCCCTTGTTTCCGTGTGAATATCTCACAGACAAGCATACTTCGGAATCCCGTTGGGGGCCAGAACGGGAGCACAAAAAATCGACCGTCTCTCTTGCCCTTCCCTGGTCTCTCTATCTCCCTCTCAACGGATAGTTTGGGTTGACCCGTTGGCCGCAAGGGAGGTCCCGTCACCGGTAAGGGAGATACACGTCAAGAAAGAGAGGGGCCGGGGAGCACCAGCTGACCCGTGTTTTTCGTGAGAAGGTATTCTACCATCACCACCACCAACAACCACCACATCACCTGACGGACGGCGCCGTCGGATTGTGCAGCAGACAGGCGATCTCTACGATGATTCGGGGGGAAAAGACACTGGCGCACAGTGCAACTCGCTGTCCAAGAGATTCCGCAACCGAGAAGCCGTATCTGAAACTGATTGTCGTTGCAATCCATGACAACGTTGTACCCCAACTCGTCAACGCGTCGTGTATAGCAGCGGGGTCCATGGCACTTCTCTACCACTGCACGTGGGCATACGATCAGCATCTCGACCCAGCAGCGAAACAAACAAAAACAGTACAACATGCGACATATCAAGGGTCCGCCTTCCCTTGTTCAGCGTCCTTCGAACCACAAGTCAAAGCAGCGGCAAACGGCAGTGCGGAATGAAAAAACGGCACGTCTGACGCCAACCAAACCCACCGATGTCGTCAGACGCCGTGTTGAGTAGCAGGCTCGCGATCTCCAGGTAGTGGTGCGGCAGGGGAGTGAAGACCGCGGCGTCCTCTCTCTCTCTCCGGAGCACTTGCTCCAGGTAGCCCACCGACATAAAGGAGGGGCACGCGATCTGACACCTGGAGGGTTGGGTGTCAAATGAGTGTGCCGTCATTTTGGTGTTGGTTTGTTTTCGTTGCGTTGATCAGGTCACGATGCTCGATGCTGCGGGCGGGCGTGTTCACGTGTTGCTTGCCTTAGCGGTTGGACTATTTGATGTTTGATACGGAGGGAGAAAAATGAATGTGTGGGGGTCGCTCAGGCGTGCATTCCCAGCGAGGTCCAGACATAGTCAGTACTCGATTTATCCTGCTGTACGCCGGGAGCCGTGTATTTAAAGTCTGTCCCGGGTACGACGAGGGCGGGCATCCGGCAATCACCTTGCTGTGTGGTATGTTGTGGTGTGTTGCAGCAAAGGGCGGAAACGGGGACGGCTACATATTGAGGAGCTGTGACGTGTCGCACGCATATTTGGACACTATGGTAAAATCCCGCTCGCCCAGGCGGAAGGTGGGGACGTTTCGTTAGCTACAATGGCGGACTGCAACAAGCTGCCGCAGCGACCTGTCGGGTATACAGCTCAACACACATTTGCTGAGCTTTTTTGCCCCTTGCAGTGCAAGGAGAAACCCCACCACCATCAACACCGAGTGATTCTCTCTCCGGCAGGACATGCACCTAATTGTTCTGTGTTCGACCCCCACCGTCGGTAAAAACTCACAAACTGCTGTATGCTTTACTTCTGTATGCATCTGTGTTCGTGAACAACAATTCAAAGTACCGTAGGTTGCGTAAGATACCACACCCCCTGGACCAAACCCAACTTCTTCATAGAGCTCAGTTACCCACGACGATGCCGTAATCAAATCGTGCGATGTCTGAATGCCTTCGGCGAGACGGTTCCAACACCACCGTGTTCGGAGCAAAGTCACCGTTGTCCTAGATGTCGAGAAAGTCGAGCTTAGAATACTAGTCAACGGGGCGTGATATCTAACGTGCGGCATATGACGAAGGTGTCCGCAAGGTTTCAAATTTCAAACTTGTTTTACTAAATGGGAGCTTGCAAACAAACTCTCACAAACCAAAATGCATGAAACAATAGCATCGAGCACACCACACTCACTTCTGTCTCTTCTTCAGGGTGATAGCCAGCCACAGCGGCACCTTTGCCCGCGCCTGTGGCACGAAGGGACCGAAGTCGCCTTGGATCAGATGCAGCGGGCCGTGTTTGAATTTGGGGACGATCTCGATGAGCGCATCCTCGGCAATGAACTCCAACTCTGCAGCTGTCAGCTGGGCCAGCCCTCCAGCATCATCAGAAGGCATGGTCTGTCGTGTGGTGCGTGGGTGCGTCACCACCTGCAATAGCCCACAGGTTTATCTCAGTCAACCAACAGGCTGCGCCGCACGCCGCAGCACACAAATTTGATCCTAGAGACGGGGCACGGTGGATGAGAAAGCATGGTACGGGGGCTACGCGGGCGGAAATTCCAGCAGTTGAGTTGTGAGTTGCTGTGCCAACGCTGCCAGTCTGCCAGTACTCCATCTTCCCAGGTTCCACTCACTCAACGACTTCTTCACGGCGCCGAACGCTGTGATAGTTTGCTGCTCCTGTTCCTGCAATCCAGCATTGACTAGTGGACAGCAGACCTGAGCGCGTCCCCTGGCAGGAGTTTCCCTCGCCCTCTTTTTGTCAGTTAGTAAAATTTGGAAAATTCACGCTGACTTGACTGTCCAGGGAATAAACGGGCTTGTTGTAAATCGACAACAGCAGCAGCACAGCAGCAACGGCATCCACGTCAAAGCATGGCGAGGTCTAGCGGCAGAAGGAAAGAAGCCACGGAAAGTGGCGGTGGTGGCAGCAGCAGTAACAGCAGCAGCACTAGGAAAGACGCGGCTGAGGCCGCGCCGAGCAAGATGAGGCTGCGCCGGCGGCCCGCGCTCGCAGACATCAGTGCCGCCGTTGGCAACAACCAAGGAGGTGCTGCTGCTGCTGCTGGGGCAGGTGCTGGGTCGAAGCCTGGCGCACGGAAAACGGTGCGATGCCAAGCGTGTTGCTGGGTTGGTTGCAATAGACAGCGAGCTACAGGGTAACCCTGGTGCACGGCAAAGTGTGCACATGCTTGGTCTGTTTCGCCAACTGCTTCTGCTCTGCTGCTTCTGTGAAACCTGCTTTTCTTCAGTCCGCCGATCCAATATTTTTTTATATCGTTTTTATTTCAAACTTGAGGCACAGAGGCAGGCGCCGTTCCTCTCTCTCTCCTTTGATGTGCGCCCGTCTCCCGCAGCAGCAAATCCTTGATCCTCCCCCTCTCTCTGCTCTGACGCCCTTCTGCTACCGCCCCTCACTGCCCTACACTAGCAGCGAAAGCGAAAAGCATCGGACAGCGGGGTAGCGGTGGCGGCCCAAGATCCTCCTCTCCGGCCTACCGGCGGTCACCGCCGCCAACAAGCGTCCTCGGCTTCCTCCTCCTCCGTTGCCGGCACCGCCGTTGTCTCCGAAGGCGAAGACGAAGAGGAGGAAGAAGTGGAGCACGACGGCCGGCGGCAGCGGCAGACTCGTGCGCCGCGGCGGGCAAGCCGAGACGCCTCCGCTCCTTCACACGCCGGGAGGAGCAGCAGCAGCAGCAGCAGCAGCAGTAGGAAGGGAAGCGGCGGCAGCGAGAGGTTAGCGGCGGCGGCTGCGGCGGCGGCAACCGCGTCCTTGATAGCGGAGACGGCGGCGAGGGAAGCGCGGCTGAAGAGGTGTAAGGTGCCCCCGTCCGAGATCTCCGAGCACGACGTCGTTGATAGGGATGACCCCATCGCCTGCGCCGAGTACGCGATGGACATGTACAGGCGATACAAGGAGCTGGAGGTATGGATGGATGCGTCCGTCGTTTCCTCCGTAGATAAGATGGTGTCATAACGGGGAGAGTGTGATGAAAGCCGTGATCTTTGGACCGCGTTTTGTTGCGCTGCGCGCACACACTCACAAATACGGGGGCCTGCCGGGTCAACGCTCTCTCGGCATGTATATGTACTAACAAACGCGGCGGAAATTGAAATTTTGAAAATCACGCGGGTTTGGTGCATTTTCGCAATAAGCGTGCAGTGGAGGCGCATGTACCGCTGCTGCACGCGCTGCCCGTGTTTGATCTTGTCGGAACAAGCACCTAGCGGTGTACGTTTAGAAGCAGCTGTGACGTGTGTGCATGGCCCCACGCTGTTTCTGCTGCTTTTCCTTTTTCAAAATTTGAAATCGTCGTTCACCTTGGATGGATTCTTGTGATGGTCGGGAAGGTCAAAACCCATTGCGATGCGTGTATGCATACGGAAGCCTGCCCGTGCACACTTGCAACTCCCAGTAGGGTGCTGAGTCCGAAGGGAAACGTGCTTCGTGTTATGCCCCTTCAGATACCGCACGATGCACAGGCGTCGATAACTCAGAAGTCGATTCTCAAATGTAAGAGTTCGAGGGGTCCTGCTAAAAACCAGGCACATGAACATCCGGCCCCCTAAATACCTTCTACGGGAGCCACCGCCTGACTTGTGTCCACGCAGCATTCTTGTATTTTTTTTAACCGCCCTGTTCCTCCAGCAGTCCTCTGATAAGAAATTCGTGGATCTAGATTCATGCGATCTTCCGCAAAAGATACGTCCCCCAACTTGTTGTATCTCAGGGTACTACCTGCTTGACTTGTTCCGGCTTGCCGGGGCTGCCGGGCTTCTTTCGGATTCCCTGTCCCCAGAGAGTGCGTCCGCCAAGACCCCTCTTTCGAGCACACAGCAGTTCAATCGGGTCTCTTGTTTCTCGAGGTGTTGCTGTCTCATGTCGTGGAGCAATTGGTTTTTAACCCTCCCTCCTCCTCCTCCCCCCCCTCCTTGTTGCATGCGCCGTAACAACAAACTCGGCGGTAATTCATCCCTTTCGCAGGAGAAGTACACCCCGACCGTGTACATGCACACGCAGGTCGACATCAACTGCAAGATGCGCGCCATCCTGATCGACTGGATTGTGGAAGTGCACCTCAAGTTCAAGCTGGCGGACCCGACGCTGTACCTCACGTGCCACATCATCGACCGCTTCTGCATGCAGGAGAACGTGCACAGGAGCAAGCTGCAGCTGGTCGGGGTCACCGCCCTGCTGATCGCCTGCAAGTATGAGGAGATCTTCCCGACCGAGGTGGGTGGGAGGGCGGGCATGTCTGGGAAAGGTAGTGGCGGGGGTTGCTGACTGCTCCAGCTTCAATTTATGGAACTATACGTACATGGCTTTTGCGTGTCTGCTTCGTGGGTGGGACAGGTGGGGTGTGTGTAGACTGCTCCCGTTTCACTTGGAGCTCTTGACGTTTGAGTGGCTAGATCCCGGCCGTTTTCTTCTTGTTCTTTTGATATCTTCCTTGCGCACAGGTGCATGTGGCCAGAATGTGTGCGTGTCTCTCCTCGTTTTGACTGTTCGGATATTCAGGGCAGCCACGATCTGTGCATGTGCACCGAGCACGGAACATGACTCCTTACTATTTCAAGCTAATATTTTCGGGGATGTCAAGCTCAGCATGTACCACTCGCTGGGCGGTAAACCACGTACATACATCACGTTCAATTTGTACTCTGCATCACCGAAATATCCGCCGGCATCAGGTTCGGGACTGCGTGTACATCACTGACCACGCCTATACACGAGAGGAAGTGCTGGAGATGGAGCAAACGATCCTGCGCCGACTCAAGTTCGAGCTGACGGTACCCACGCAGTGGACCTTTCTCGTGCGCTTCCTCAAGGTATGCCAGATAAACCTTGCGGCAGTTGTGGTACTGACCATCTGCCCTCGTGGGGACTGGGTGTTGCACGGAGGGCGAGGCGCTCGGTTTTTTATGAATCGGGGTAGATTTTTTATGACGAGTGTTGGAAAGTTTTTTTTTTGACGGACGTGTTTTCTCTCGCCCCTATGTGTGCTTCTGAGGCATCGTCTCTCACGCGTGTGAAACTCATATCGTGTTGTCAATACATCCGATGTCGAGCTATTCTTTCCTCACGCTGGTATGGCTCTGTGCATGGGTGCGGCTGCTGTACGTGTTGATTTTTCTTCCCGCGTAGATCGCGAAGGCCACCGACCGGCAGCACCACCGCGCACAGTACTACCTTGAGCGGTGTCTCCAGGAGCACGAAGCGCTCTCGTTCCGGCCCTCCATGCTCGCCGCCGCGTCCGTGTTCCTGGCAAGGATCCCTGACTCCGGAATAAAAAACGCATGGGTGAGGAACTGGAGAAGTACAAAAAGAAAGCGGGATAGGTGTGGGGACTCCGTCTTGCACCCTGTTAGCGCGATGCGACGCTACTACATGTGCAGGCTTTCACGGGGAGTCTTGTCGTTGTCTACTGGCCTGCAAGCATGCATGCTGCGACGCTACTCCAGACAAGAACGTGATCTGTCTGCGGGGACTGTCGTTGCCCAACGTGTAGGCCTCTCAGTGCTGCACCGCTGACGTCGCTAAGAAACACACCGAGCACACGCTTGTATGGTTGTGGCCTCTTACGAGAGTCAACCGCAACATATGTATTCTGTGCAACCTTGCCACTATGTACTGC